TGGTAGCGCCCGCCACCCTAGGCCCCGCCCCCGGACGCGCATGCGCGGCGGCGGGGGCGCGGGTCGCAGCACATCCGCGCTCAGGTGGGCGTTCGCTCGGCGGCGTTCGCGTCCGCGTCCGCCAGCCTCCTCGGCGTTTCCTCTTGTCCGAGAGTCCCCTGTCCCCGCGCAGGGAAGCCGCACACCCACCGGGTCCGGCCCGCGGTGCTTGGCGGCCCGGCCTGGACTGCGGGCCGCGTGGGCCGGACAGGGGTCGCGCCGCCCGGTCTTCGGGTGGTATGAGCAGGGGTCAAGGTCGCCCAATCCGCAGGTGAGCCGGGGGTTGGGGGAGCGGGTCCAGCAGCTCTGTCCGCAGTGAGCCGGTGGTCCTGCAGCTCTGTCCCCTGTTGAGCTGGGGGTTGGGGGAGCGGGTCCAGCAGCTCTGTCCCCAGGTGAGCCGGCCGGGGGTCCTGCAGCTCTGTCTGCAGGTGAGCCGGCCGGGGGCCCGGCCGGGCCGCGGTGGGAGCGGGGCAGCGGGGCAGCGCCTTCCGAGGGGCACTGGTCGACCGGCGGAGACCGAGACCGTCCAGGCCGTGCTCGCCGGGGGTCGTGTCGCCCAGCACCTTATACGTGAAAATTAGAGCTGAAGCAGTAACCGCTCCAGGTAGCACCAGAGGTGTTCAGTGCAGGATGGTTTGTAAGGGCGGCTCTGAGGGGTCTCTGCTGCAAAGAATCTCTCAGAGAAGAGGGTTTGCAAGGGAAACGTGAACTTTATGGTAAGAGGAAAGAATTAGGCAGAAAGGCGGCGTGTGAACATGGACCCCTTTTCATGAAAAAAGTAAAAGTTCACACTTAGCAAAAGGATTGACCCAGCTGGCCCCGGAAACAGTCGGTGCTTAAGCTGAGTGGGAGGACTGCAGGGTTTTGTTTTTGTATTTTTATGCTGCTTTGTATTTTATGAATTTTGTTCATTGAGCATGTATTTCTTTTAATTTTGGAAAAGATATGTTTACAAATGTCAAAGTGTCATTCTCTACACGTTAGAAACCTAATTCTCCTGCAAAGAGGGAGTGCTTGTCAGCTTGTGTTAACTCACTGAGGAAGGAGCCAGCAGGAGGAAGGAGCCGGCTCTGGGACCAGTGAGCTGCAGGAATGCTGGGCGGGCGGGCCTGGGGGCATCCTGCGCATGGCAGTGACCACAGCCTCTGGATTATCTTCCCTGGGGGCAGGGGCGAGAGGAGAGTTATTGCTGGTTATCAGAGTTGCCAGGTAGGCCTCCCAGACTGTGAATCCCAGGCCAGTCCCTGCTGAATGAGCTGTGCTGTCTCCTTTGCAAAGTCAAGTGACCCTCCGAGGTCGTGCGCAGTAACCCAGGATGATGTAACAAAGCAGGCTGTTTCCCTCTTGTGGACTGCACATCCCAGATTGGAATCAGTTTAGCGCCCAGTGAACAGAGGAGCTCAGAGATGTTCCTGTGTCCGTGTCAGAGCTGCAGGGGCCCTGGGGGCTGGAGTCCAGCCTGGGGACTGGCCTGCCAGTCATGGCAGCACTGGAACCAACACTCTTAACTTCCTCAGAATGCCTGGTGCGGTGCAGTGGAACAGCTGAAAGCACCAAAGCCTATAGAGGAAAGAACGGGGCAAGGTTTGTAGATAGATTTTCCTGCAGAGTCGAGGGGGAGGGGCTCTCTGTCCCCAGGGGTCACTCTTATCGCAGCTACAGGGCGGTCTGAGCGCCTGGCTCCTGAAGAAGCCCTAGTCTGGGGCTCCAGGTGAGCAAGTGGGCAGCAGGGGAACGGAGCGCCCCCATGTCCCCTGTGCCCTGGAAGGTGAAGGGAGGCAGTCAGGGCGGGTGGGCGCAGAGCCTTCCAGAACAAGTCTGACTGCCCTGGGGGCACCACCCAGCCTAAGGGCAGCAGTGCCTCTGCGGGGTTTGGGGGGCCACCTGGGTCCCCCAGCCTGCAGCATCCCCAGGACCCAGGGTGACAGGTTGGACCAGACCAGCTGGCCCAGAAACGCTGTCGTGTAGGAGGGAGTGTGAGGAGGAGGTTTTGAGCATGGATCAGGAAGGGGGCGCGTTTGTGGGGGTCTGAAGGGTGCTGAGTATTGGGTCTTGCAGGGAGTCGTGTCTCTGATGACCCAGGGGCTCCCCTGCCTCCGCTCTAGCTCAGCTGAGACCTTAACCCATTTGCATTTCTTTCCTCAGATGAGACACTATCTTCAGAAAGGTTACCTAGAGTCTTAAGGACCCAGAAGCCAGTCTGAGGTTTATCTGTGGCATGACTTTGAAAGAATAGTGTTTTTTTCCTCGATTTCTGGGTCCTTGGAGCCAGTCCCCTGTTACCCACCTGGAATGCTGGCTCCATCCCTGCCCCCCACTCCTTCCTTCTGCACCTCCCCCCACTGCTCTTGTCTCAAGCACAGGGTCAAAAGCAGGCAGACCCAGTACTGGGGTTCCTGTTCTTGCTTGTTGCGTGTCCCAGGAGGCTGGAGGCTGGGGAGTGCCTCCTGTCTCCTTCCCCTCCCAGTCCCCTACCCACCCCTTGGCCCCACGTGCCTCCTGCTGCTTGTTGGAAGAGTTAGGGAGGGGAGGGAGGGAGAAGACAGGGGCTCATGGTCGGCTGTTTGCAGACTTTCCAGGATAATCGGATGTCTTTTTTTAATCTGACTTACATTTACAAGCACCTGCAGCTCATGGGAAGCCCCTTCAGTTATGCCTGGTTTAGGAAAAGGAAGGCTCTGAACATCCCTCCTCAGAGTCTCAGGATTTTACACCTGGAGGAGACTGGGGACCAGGCCAGTGCAGTGGTCCTGCACCTCCTTGGGGCAGCTAGGCACTTAAGAAGTAGCCAAGTCCCCTCCAAGGCAGTGGCGTCAGAATGCCTGGGGGTGTCGGGCCTGGACGTACCCCCAGAATAGAGAGAAGACAGCAGAGCTGCGGGCGATCCAGTGCCCCAGGACCAGAGCGCGGAGGTCCTGATCACGTGCCAGCCCAGGCCCCACGGAGTAGCTTCTTGATTTGAGGCAAATAACCGAGCCTGGGCTGTCCAGGGGGGTTGAAGCCTACCTTTCCCCACTTACCAAGTGAAGAGACCTAATGGATCTGCCGGGCACACAGTAGGTGCTTCCTGTTAGCTCCTGATGTCCCACTGCGCTCTGTTTGTCTTTGGTTTCTACAGTCGGATGCTGGGGTCCTGCTTTCTTAGCTTCTAAGCAGTGAAACCGAGACGAGAACTCGCTGTTCTGTCCCAGGGCCCTGGAGGGCCCCCCACCTTCCTGAGCGCCAGCCCTCGTTCTAGTCAGAGTCTCGGGGACCCTCCCGTTTCCAGGCAGAGGCTCCAAGGAAGGTAGGTGGCTGGGCCAGGAGCACGGTGGTGGGGCCTGTGGGAGAGGATGAGGTGCCCTTCCCGGGAGCCTGGGCTGCAGTGGGGGGAGGCTCTTGCTGCAGACCCGTCTGCTGGGGTGCAGTTCTTGGTCCTGAGGCTGCCCTCCTGCCCAGCAGTGAATGTCCGTCCCCGCCCCCATGTCAACCTCCCCGTCAGTCTCACAGCGCCCATCCTGTGGGACTCGAAGGGGCTTCTGGGGGGCCAGGTGGTTCTGAATCTTTAGTGAGAGGGCCGGTCAGGCGCAGTCACAAGAGGAAAGCGGCGTTTACTATGCTCGCGGGTCCTGAGACAGGGCCACGTGGGCCACGCAGGGGTGGTCAGGGTGTTGGGGGCAGAAGATGGGAGGGAGGGGGGACTGAGGCCACGGCCTTTGTTGGGGTTTCCAGGGTCGGGTGAATGTGTAAAACTGGCCGGTTTTAATGATTTTGTTGGACTTTGGGCTCCAGGGGTGTTCCTGGCTGCCTGGCTCCCAGCCTGGGTGATTCTGGCAGAGGAACGTCGCCTCCTGGGTGCAGGGCAGACGGGGAAGGCCTGGCCTGGCCGGGTCAGTGGCATTTGTCACAGGCGTCCCCTGGCGGGGCCCTTTGCTGTAGGAGGGGCTGTCAGAACATCCCAGCAGACAGGAAGTAACGTGTTGCGCGCGCACACACGGGTCAGAGCCACGTGCTCTCGCGGCCTCTTAGGCTAGTGCTGGGCTTGCTCTGTGTCCATGTTGACGTTCACGCGTGTCTCTAGGTGTGAGAGGAAACTGCGGTCTGGGCGTCGGGTGAGCAGAGCCTGTCCTGCGAGGTGTGCAGGAATGCGCAAGCGGGGGCCTGCGCGCCGTCAGTCCGGCCTGTGCCAGAGCCGGCGCGGTGCCTGAGAAGCGGGAGGCAGGCCCATCTGTGGTTTTGCTCTGGTTCCAGAGCATCGTCAGATGCAAGTGCAGTCGTCAGGGGCGGTTCCTGTGTTGTCCGCGGTGAGAGAGCGGTGTCCTGTGCGTCCCTGGCCTGGCCGCGGGCCGCCTCCTCCGAGCGTCCGCGGGTTGGCGGTGAGGCCCGTGCCCTCCGCTCCAGCGCTGGCCCTGCGCCCCGCGGTCCTGTGGTCCCGTGAGACGCAGTCACCCCCCAGGCACTTTCTTGGTTTGCTGTCGTCCCCGTTTGCTTGTTTCTGTTGCCTGTGCTCTTGGTGCCGTATCTGTGAAGCCGTTGTCCAAACCATAAAAATAAGGGCCACAAGGATGAACTGTTGATTTACATTGTTGCAGAGACATTGTCTTAGTAGAACCTACTTGCTTCCTCAGGGGCAGCCACCGTTGGTGGGAAAACACGGACGTTTGCAGGAGGGGCCTGCTGAGCTCCCGCCGTCGTCAGTGGAGAGCTGAGTTTAGAGGGCTCCTCTGAGGGCCCTCAGCTCAGGGAGGCGTGGAGCCCCTCGTCCAGGGGGGAGGTGGTGTCCCCCCCCCGAGGACTCACAGGGACTGCTGAGGGCGGGTGGAGCCACGTGGGGGATGGGGAAGCCCAGGTGCCTGTCCTGCCCTGTGGAGATGGCATGGCACTGGAGGCCCCCATCCACTGGGTCTAGTCCAGCGCACTGACCTTTCCTGCCCACGACCACGCCTGGAGGGCAGCACAGGAGGACAGCCTCGTTCTGAGTCACGTGGTGGCCACGTGCAGGTGCTGTGTGCGTCCCTGGAGCTCACAGCTTGGCTTGGCCCCCACCTGCCCTGCCGGCAGTCTGTGCCCCCAGACGTGGCTGACTCATGATCATGTTGGTGCGTAGCTCTGCTGCCCAGACTGGCCTCCGGCCAGTTCCCATCTCAGGTTCTGGAAGCATATGCTTCAGCAAAGTCCATCATAGCTTCACACACAGTGTTTCTTTCCTCCTGGGGGTCTGGACTGTCACAGCCTACCACACGGGACGTCCCCCGGAGGGTCAGGACCGTGAGTTTCAGTCCCTGCCTGCACCCTCTGTCTTTAATTCCTTGTCTGTTCATTCTGTGTCACCAACGTGTCTTCTCACTTTGGTTTTGTCTTCAAATACATGTGAGCACGGGTAGGGAACTGTTAGCAGGTGTCTCATTGTAGTGTTCGTGTGCACTGGAGCCGCGCTGTGGCCTCGCTCCCATTGAGCCAACAGAAGGTGACTTCTCTTTTCTCTCCAGGTCGGAGACGGGTGCACAAGGGGCCCTGAGGCCGTGGCCCTGACTGCGTTTTCAGGGACCAGAGGCAGCGTGTGGACCTGGCTCTCCTCTGACACAGACACCAGCACCATGAGTCTTGCGAGTGACAGCAGGGCGGCAGGGAGCATCTTTGACCTGGACTATGCCTCCGGGAAGATCCGCTGGACGCTGACGGTGGCCGGCTTTGTCTTCTACCTGGGCGTCTTCGTGGTCTGCCACCAGCTGTCGTCCTCCTTGAATGCCACCTACCACTCCCTGGTGCCCAGAGAGAAGGTCTTCTGGAACCTGGCGGCCACGCGTGCCGTCTTCGGCGTCCAGAGCACGACGGCAGGGCTGTGGGCGCTGCTGGTGGACCCGGTGCTCCAGGCCGATCGGGTGCTCGGCCAGCAGAACTGGTGCTGGTTTCAGATCACCACGGCCACGGGGTTCTTCTTCTTCGAGAACGTGGCCATTCACGTGTCACACCTGCTGTTCCGCAACTTCGACTTCTTCCTGGCCACCCACCACCTCTTCGCCTTCCTGGGGTTTCTTGGCCTGGTGGTCAACCTGGAAGCCGGCCACTATCTGGCCATGGTCACCTTGCTCCTGGAGATGAGCACACCCTTCACCTGCGCCTCCTGGATGCTCCTGAAGGTGGGTGCTTCCAAATGCTTTTTCTCCGTCGAAGCAGTTCGTGTGTTTCTGTAAACTTTCTGTTTCACGTTATTTTACGCGTCACACGAGGTCCGCCCGCCCGCCAGATGTCCGTGTGCAGCGGGCGCGGGGCTTGTTCCGTTTGACTGAAACCTCCCTGCTGATGAGCGGCCGGCCGCTCCCTCCCCTGCAGCCCCTGGTGACCACCGTTCCACACGCTGACCCTGCGAGTTTGACCATCTCAGGCGCCCCTGCGCGTGGCCACACCATGGCGCCCTCCGGTCCCTGGCGTGTCCCCCGTGGGGCACGTCCCAGGGTGGGTCCATGTTGCGTGTGGGCAGCGTACTTCTTTTCTGCTCTCTGTGTGTGAGCGTGTCTCTGTCGTCCACCGCCGCCCCTGCTGGACACCGCCGTTGCTCGCGTCCCAGTTTCTGCGGGTCACTCGGGGATGAACGTTGGGTGCTAACACCCCTCTGACGTCCTGATTGCAGTTCTTTGGGTAAATACGGAAGTGGGCAAGTGGACTGTAGGGTAGCTCTGTTTTTAAAAAACAAAACCTCGGCACGGTGTGCCCCGCTGGCTGGCGGGTGTGCGTTCCCACTGGCAGGGCGCTGGGCCCGGCCGTCTGCGGCCCCGCCTGCACTTGGTGAGCTGTGACTGCTGGATGGCGTCCCTTGTGCTGTTGATTTGCGTCTCCCCGAAGACTGGCCACACTGAGCATCC